CCACATCACAAACTCGACAACCAGCATGGAAACAGCACAAATAAAGCCATTACTTCTAAAAAATTGTGGAGTAGTAGTATAACTTTTTATGTGGGTTACCTGTAATAAGACTGTGAATCACAAAGACCAACTAAAAATAGGAACCATTATATTCTGTAACTTTTCTCCACTGTAGCCCAAGGCAGTCCCAAAGCTATAAGCTTGTGTACTAATATTTGAGCTGAATATATTGTTCGTTCAGTTTCAGTAAATCCCATGAGTCCCTGTCCATATTCCCAGGTAGAATTCTTTGTAGTTTTAAGGGAAATTATATAAGAGCATAAGCAATGAGTACAGTCACATTGCACTGATTTTTTGTATTATGGTATCACTGGTATGACAGCTTTTATCATCTTCAGAAATAAAATGTGGAAACAATCTATACCAGAAGGTTTGTAGCAATTTTAGCAATAGCAATGCAGATGACTAGATATTACTACACACACACATTGGGAGCACATTATGCTGTGGCAGGAAGAGGTTATAAAATATGCAAATAATAGATAAAATTAGAGAAGTGCTTATTGGTTACATCTTTGTGGTTTTTAATATGCACACATGAACAAACACCTGAAACCACAGACGCACTTCTGCATTAGAGAGGAAGAAAGAGGGAGAAAGAAAAGGGCTGAATCACATTAACATGGAGGTGGGTCAACTGTAATTTGATATTTTCACCGTGGGAGCAAAACAGAGTCCTATACCAGCAGTACTAGTGAAACTAGCAATGTAGCATTGTATGCCTCTTTCAGTCTGAGCTTGTCAAGGCCTTCAAATTAACTAACGCAATCAATCATCTTTCTTTTCTCCCAGTGGGAAATGATGCACAATCACCTCTAGTCAAACACAAAAAAAACCCACAGAGGTCATTTTTAACCTACATGTCAAAAATTAAAGTTTAGCCAAGCCACAAACGGAACACTATCAATATTACTACAGGCTGCTGCAAATCACAAGCGGTATCAATCACATTTTTCACTTCACGCGTGGATAAACATTCAGTAACTAGCTTTACCCGTTATAAAACACTTTAAAAACACAACGTAAAATGTAAGAGTTCTACAAAACGATAGATTTTAAGACGAGCCACAAGAAGAGTCTATTGTATCTCCAACAGCGTTAGGTACAAACTCAAGATTATGGTTTAAACAATAGCTGTAAATAGCAAAACCAGAACATCGGACGCAACGATTCCCGGCCCCTAAGGATTTACATTTAGGGAATATGTTCGAATATGCAACATTATTTGAAACAATGAAGAATAAGTTCTCAAATTAAAGAGAGGTTGTTGTTTCAATATTTTTACAAAATAATATTAGCCTTGGTGCTTCGTTGAAACTCATTAAAATGCATACTCCTCAACTTTTTTTCCTTTTTATAACATGTAAGACTATTAAATATGATCATTTTCATAGCCAATTTGTAAAGTTTTATCAAAGCAGACATTTGCACAGTCCATTGTGAATTGTCTATCTTTATACATCCTTTCGATATGGACGAGGTGGATAGAGAATAAAAGCTCAATTCTACCATAATCAAAAATATTACCAACACCACCTTTGTTCTCTTAGAGAAAAAAAAAATAGTGCCTGCCGCTTTAAATCCTGGCTCTTGCTGGAGTGTGCCCATCCCCCCATTTCCCCAATGTTTATCGCTACCCTCCATCAAACCAAAATACTACAAAGCAAATACACTGCAACAAACTAACCCCAGCATTTCTCTATTTTATCAGCTTGGTTAAAATAATCAGGTTATGCTAAAGTGATCAGATTTTACAACATTCAAACATGGTACCACCAGAACCTTTTTTCTCCTCTTTCCAATAACCATGTGGCCAAAACCTTTGAAAATTTGCAACTGAACAGAGCGCCCAGTAGACATGGTAGAGATACGCTGTTAATACTGATCCAGCAGTCATGTGATAAGAGGTCTATTACAACATCATCCCACCCCACCCCCTCAATCCCTCACACACAAACAGAAGCCACACACCCAACAATACTGAAGAGCGAGCACGGATTCATTGAGACAGCAGAGTTCAAAACCTACAGCATTCCTTTTTTGTGTTCAGTTATCGACAATAAAACCACGATAAGGGTGTAGGTGCTACTTAATCGCCACACAGATTTGAATGAATACACATTACCAAGGAAGCGCTTTTATATGGAATCGCACATTTAAGAAGGAAGTCGTTTGGAGGTGCATCTCAAAACATCTGCAGTTGAAAGAGAGGGAATCTTTTATCTTCTCCGTTTGAGTATTCCGGAATCACAAGTTAAATTATGATGGTTTAATCACTCAGATTATGTGAATTATAAAATGTCCCAAACACCAATGCAATACATGCACCAAGTAAAATGACAGATTATATGAACTTTTTCCCCCCAATGATCACAAACTTCTGTAAATTTCAGCATTGATTGCATGGTCACAATTAATCACCACAGCTACTGTTCTAATAAATTAGACCTATTAGCTCATTTACTATTATTTTGTTTTCCTTAAATTAACGCGTTTATGTCTAAAAAACATTTTATGGATAAAAAAGCTCGAAGAAAAAAATACTGCGATTACAAACGAACTTTTTGTGAAATAGAATATGCCATCTGGTTAAAAAAAAACCATAAAATCCTTCCATAGAGTAGTCTTTTAAAAATGGTAATTCACTTAGCTCGTCATAAAGTAGCAATATGTTGAAACAATGTTTTTTCGATAAAGCCGGTCTTATATGCAATGTGTACAAACCCATTACAGTTACATTAACAACCGAGGAGTTTAATTTTAGTTTAACAAAATAGTAGCATTTTATTATTGTTGGAGCCCATAAGCTCCAATACTCGACCTCGAGACCTATTTTATATTCCTACTCAAAGATGCACACAAAAACTGACCAGGCAATTGCTGTTTTAAGTCCTTCTAATAATCAAGAAACCTCTAATAACTTAAAGAAAATATACATATGCCACTTAAACATTGTTTTAAACTTCATGCTTTCATGGGAATCCTCCCAGATTTCTGTATCATCTTAAAAACTCAAATTAAAAAAAAAGTGAAAATGACACAAATGTCATAGTTGTCAGTAAACATTCTTATCAACTTTTTCCAGAAGTAAATTTAGCAAAACTGCTTAAAGACGCCACAGAGCTCAAGCCAAAACGGCACAAAAATCCAAAACCTGACCTTAAAAAACAAAAAAGCAAGATACGATGTAAAGCCAATAACAATAGTTCAGTTCAGGATAGTACAGGAAAAGCGAATTAGCAATGATCAAAATTAAACGTAAAGTATGAACAATATTCCTCTAAAAACAAAGAGCAATAAGCACATTTTACTTGCTACGGTCACATTTTCTCTTGAGCGTATTACATCAACATTTATTACATTCAAAACGCAAGCTATACAATAGCCTTTGCGCATTCAACGCAGGACCTAACAAAGAAAAACAAAGCTAGCCCGAGCAATTTCACGTGCTCATTTTGTAAACATTTTGACTAAAAGGAAAATAAACGCAAATGCACGACTAAAGTCCGCTATACGAGTGTTAAAATAAATTGGAACAACCGTCTTTGTGATTCGTGCTTTAGTTCTCTTACGAAGAAAAATTGCGAAAACAGAGCATAGTTCAATTGCCATTTAAATAAGGAAAAGACGTGATTTTATAAACAAAAAAACAGACCTACATCGGTATTTAACAATTCGCCAAATTAGGTGCATGTTACAGAACAGCGTCATTTTGATATTTTAGAAGGTGTTTTCATATTTACTTTCAATAAAGGGAGAAAGTAACACTTAATTCGAATTTAATTTCTTTACTATGAAAATACGCACAAAGGGTTGTTTTCACTCCCCCCGGTACCCCTCCCCCAAACTCGTCAAAACAAGGAGGGAACCGCACAACAAAGCAGCCATGCAGGATCCAAAATTCAATTATCTGTTCATTTAAATCGAAATCAATGTTTATGGATGTAATTACTAACGAAACAGGTAATACGGAAATGCATGTTTCACCAAGATCAGTTAGCATGCAAGTTTGATATCGTGCCCGGAAAACAAAACATCCAGGCAGTATCGTGTTCTTGATTATACTACTAGTTGTGCAAATCTGGTTGGGGGACTAAAATGGTTCTATCAAAAATGCTGAAGCAATTACACCCACATGCCAAGTTTCATCTCACCATTCTCGGTTATGTTGTGAAAGATGGACATTTGAGCTAAAACAGACTGCATTCGCCGAAGAGGGAACATCGTTATCTGTCGCACGTGGTAATTTAAAACGAGGGATTTAATGGGGAAAATGCGAAGGAATCCGAAACCAGTGCGGTTGGTATTCTACAACTTTCAATTAGATCATTCCTATCGCAAACCAGCCCACATGACTACTGGGTAAAAACAAAGTCCACTCTTTCATTTTTAAAAGTGCACATCTCTACAGAAACATTTTTGCAGTAATCTAAGCAATGTTCATGAAATTGTCAATGTAAGGACTCGTCTAAACAACAAAAACAATGTGTTGCTACCTGAGCTACAAAAAATGTTAACAATAACGATTCGATGAGCAAGTAGTGGTCGGAGAAACATTTTCACAAATTGCTTGCAATTGTAACATTTTCGATTGTTACAGAGCCCTTTATAACGTAATACCATGAAGCGTACCTTTAACAACCCTGGATCATTCAAATTTGATACCCTGTTCAGTAACACCAAAAGTACACATAAAATAAAGAATTAAAAAGTTCCTAAATGCGACGCTACTCATTAAAAGATAGAAATGACTAAAGAATTTGTACCACAATGACGAGTGAAAAATATTTTAAAACCCAATCCCACAGAAAACAAACTGCAAGGAAATTATTCTGCCACTTTCGGCCACCCCTTGAACAACGTCCTCGGCCAAATTCATGTGGGTTTTACGATTATATCAAATTCATTAATCGCAATCAAATGAATAAACAAGTCCTTACCTGCACAAAAAGTTCCCCAAAGAAGCGCAAAAGTCAGCCAGGACGCAAACATATTCCTTTAATTTGAGAAAAGCGCACCAGATTTTCTCCGTTTAAAGCGCTTTTCCTTTCCGAACATTTAAAGAGCTTATCAGCACAACACAACGAGCCAAATGACCCAGGGCCCCAGATGTCCAAAGCACCAAGAGAGTTTGCGTTGCTTTTGTGTGTGGAGCCCAGTGGGAAAAATGTTCGGGTACGGATAATAAAAAACTTTAAAATATAGGCAAATCCATCGGGAGAAAATAATTTCCAGATATTAATGTCAATAATACAAAACAACTCTGCCTGCTGTATTGTAGTGTTTTTCCCCGTCTACCTTTCGCGCTACCCCCTTTTTTGCTTAAAAACACTGAATAGCCAGAGAGACTGGGCTAAATTGACATGCAAGAAACTGAACTGAGTCCAAAATGGCTTCTGAGAGGAGAAGAGAGTAAAGCAAAGCCAGTTGGGAAACCCGGATGTTTAAATACAAAGAGAGGAATGCAATCAAAGAGGCAGGGTAGGGGGGTGCAGTAATGTTGTTATTGGGCTTGCAGTGGCGATCTAGTAAGAGAGCCCGCAAGCCAAGTGGAACCACGGCGAGAAAGGAGGATAGTATTACAAACCGTTAGTAAGACATTCCCAGGAAGTGTACGGTCGATTGAAAATATTAAGAACGACGTTTTAATTATCAGTTTATGTATAGACTCTAGGAATCCACGGGAAAGCAATAAAGCACAGCCCAAAGCCTGTAAGCAATTCCTGTGATATTGCATATAGTCTAGAATGCATACCATTATCTCTGCAAACACGTGAATACGAGATGAAATCGACAAGAACATTTGTTTTAAAAAAACAAGCTACTCCCGTATAGCATGTCACTCTGTGGCAACAATATCAGTTATGCTGAACTAACTATGTTATGGTCATGGCCTGAAAGTTCAGAAATAAGTGTCATCATTGTACATAAAATTGTACGTAGGCTAATTCTTACCCAGGAATTTTAGAATGAAAAGGGAATAGTGCATATACTCTATAGAATTAAGACCAGCCTTATCAGTAATAAAGGAAGTCGGTGGTTGTTTTTATTTCTTCTCGGGTTTTGTGATAACTTCAATGTACTGTAGCTTTCAGTTGTATTATAACTATCAGCAGTAGAAATACATTGTGTTAAAGTGTATGTAAAATCAACACCATTTAATATTAGTGTGGGAGAATACAGGAAGACGTAGGCAAAAAAAAACATGTATTAGCATCAGATAGTGATCGCTGTTATATATTAAGCATGCTTTAATTTACACTAAGGGTTGTTAAAACCATTACAGCATCGTCAATTTTGCATTGAAATTCACCTGACCTATTTCTGGGACGTTTTTTTTTCACATTTAGAGACGTTTAGATATATAAAAAGAGATACAAAAGATGGAGGAAGTGCAATTGCTGTGTATACATTTTGAGAGTTTTGCCGCAAATTAATTTACCCCGTCTAATATCCAATTTTTCATGTTATTTTACGTTTAAAAAAGTGTACCAATACAAAAGTGTAAACAGACATTCACATAGACAAAAGAGTCATTAAAAACAATCAAGTACGTAAAATAGCTGTTGCATTTTTAATGCCTCTCAGTATATGTGAAAGTATTTCTCAGTATATGTGAAAGTATTAATGTATTAAAAACTCACTTTCTCTTTCAGGCCACATGGAGCTACCCCTTAAGGTGACTTCTTTATTGCTCTCCAGTAATTGATTTGTGAGAAAGAGCTACTGAGTGTTTATACTGAAATAAAAGAGTTTTAAACCAGTTGAACGGAGGTAGCTTACTTTAAGGGAAATAAATGATTTAAGGCTGCGTAAATTTATGTAGGCATGTTAAAGATGGAGAAAAATGCCTCACACGTTCATACTGTACATTGTGTGATTAGATCAGGCTTTCAAGTAGCACAGATTTTTAGAGCACTATCTTTGCTCCTGTCTTGGTTTCTTCTTTCTGTTTCCTTCTTTCTTTCATCTGATTCCCTGGATTCACAGAAGGCGGTGAACAGCTTGAGAGTTTAGTTTTACTACAGAATTCTGCAGCAGCCACTGACACGCATTCTGAGGTCTCATAAGAACTTAAGAAAGGTTTAAAACTAGAGGAGACCACTCAGCCAATCGAGCCCATTTGGAATGGTAATTAGTACTTAATTAATCCAAGGACCTCGTCCTAGGGATACACCGAGGACAGAAAGCCAGTCTATCTCAGAACACACACAAAGACACATACCAGGTTCAGTTTTTAAAGAAGCCAATTAACCTACCAGGAAGTCTTTTGGACTGTGGGAGGAAATTGGAGCACACAGAGGAAACGCAGACAAACACAAGGAGAACATACAAACTCCACTCAGATTGCAACCCCAGAACTGAACCCAAGTCCTCAGAGCTGCAAGGAAGCAATGCTAACCACTGTGCCACCATACTGCCCAATTGTACCAGTTAGTAGTACAAATGGAACAGTTCATAATATCATTCAGCTCAAATGCAAAACATTAGTACCAAGAGTGATGAATTTGAAGGGACTGGGAATTTTGATGTTGGAATGCTGGAATGTTACAGCATTTGGTTGCAGATCATCTAAGTGTACATGCAGCAACCATTTGCTGTTAGTGCCAAGACAACTGGTGACAACTGGTTGTGTTAGTGGTAGTCCCTATTCTGGTACCTTACATACAGTATCACCGCAGGAAGACGTGAAAGGAACTTTTCTTTATCAGCATTGCAACCAGTTTCAATGAAGCAGAGACGCAACAGATGCTGTAATCTGAACCTAAAACATTCAAAATACCGACAGAATATTTTCTGCAGTACATCAAAGCCTTATGGTAAACTGTGTATTGTGGTGTCGTTGGCTTTGTCATAGCCAATTCTTACCAATTAACACTGATTCGCCCAGCAGAAGCAGGCAGTTTAAGAAGCTGACGTCCAGTTAAAGAAATTTGCATTAACACGTTTTGTAAGAGGAGGAGTGATAGTGCAGGGTGCAACTAGTTCAGCTCAGGGTTTATCAGAATCTGCTATTCAGGGTAAACACAGCCCCAAGTGGGCAAAATCTTGCAATAGGTCTTCCACAAACTAATTAATGCAACCTTGCAGACAAAGACATCTTATTTTCTAATCCTATAATGCCAGCCTCCACTCAACTAGGGTTAAGCAAGCATTCCTTCATGCATACGATATTCAAGTGTAGGATTGACCTTCAAGTTCACCTGATATGAGTGCAGCTGAACCTTTGTGGGATGTGTTGGGCCATCATATTCAACCATGATGCAGTATCTTCAGCCTTAGGCCATTGCAGGAATTTCTGCAGGATGTACAGTTCTCTCAAAAGTCTGTTTAAGATGTGGTTTATGGCTTATGGCTTATGGCTTGTTTCAGGGCTCCAGGTGGTCACACCTGTTACTTGGCATCTGTGATCCCCGCCAAAGCCTGGCCATATAAGTGTGGAATGTGTTTCATCAGGTTTTTGCAGTGATAAACAAAGCAATGAATTTACCATATGCATCTTCTGTCACAGGGACATATTTTAGTGTGATAAAAGTATTTCAACCATGGAAATGTGTTTTACGTCACTCTGTACATTTAATGTGCCTTCAAGAACGTATCACAAAAGATAAAATTGTTTCTTTAAAGTTCAATTAAATTAAATCAATATGAAACTCACTCTTAAGTGTGTTTTGTTAAAAGAAAAGTATTACTGAATTTTAGCCTTCTTGATACACAGTCCCATTATTTGCAAATCTGTATCTCAATTTCATGGTCTTAACACTTAACTTTTTGTTAGCTTTGAAGCAGTTACATTAAAAGCTTTATGGAAAAGGTGCATTTATAATTTGTGCTTTGAAACAAGGTATTGTGTGTCCTGCATTACACCAATAAAATGTACATCATTAGCAATATGGCATAAAGGTATAACTTCATACTTAAATGAACACTTTATGGTGCAAAACATAAAGTATATTATTGCTTTTGGGACCACATTTCAAAAATAAATTTTTAAAATGTATATCATTTTTATTTTTTCTGATTTTTTCAGTGCTGCACTAAAAATATTTTAATATTTTAGTTTTCACACCCTTTGTGAAGTGTGAACTGTATGTGTGCCTTTACAGTAATAATGATGGTGAAACAATACCAACATATTTGCTCAAATATAATTCTGTTTATGAAGGTAACAAAACTTTTGACCCTTAAATATGTTTTATACAAGTGGTGCATAAACTCTGCCACAATTCTAAACCAAAGCAAAAAATCTATGATTAAAATGAATTAACATCAGTGAACCTCATTGTATATGTTTTTTACTTCAGAAAAGCAATATATATATATTTTTCAAAATCAATCTTTTACAAAATAAAAATGTCCTTTAGAGGCAGATACCAAATAACATCAAATATGTTCATAAAATCTTATCAATATGTGAAGAATTACAGGGAGCAGGAGGCCTTTGGCCTGTCTTATTCTTCTGATTGCTAGAAACTAAAAGATCTAAGAATCTGGTCTAACTGCATCTTGATGTATGATGACTAAATACAGTAGCTTGTTAAAGACTGACAACTCTTTGTGAAAAGAAGTGCTTCATATTTATACTTTGTCACTCAATACCTTTCAAGATTCTGAATAGTTATGTTAAGTCACCTTGTTACTTCATTTTTCTGTAGCCTGAAGACATTCAATTGCTTCAACCTGTCTATGCATAACTTTTTTAGACTTAAAATTATTGTGATCACTCCTCTAGAAACTCTTCTTTGGGCAACACTGTCATCTTTGTTGTATAGTAACCGAAAACATGCACTTTACATTGTGAAAACTTACTATAACTTCCATTGGTTTGCATTATGCACTTTGCACTATATACCCTAGATCTTGAGCCAAAATATACCCTTAAAGCCTAGTAACCCTAGTAAAAGTAATTGTTTTATATCCTATCTGATACTAATTACTTGTATTCCTTTTACTCTCTGCATACATTGATTTTTAAAACATATTGATTTTTTATTTTTTGCAACTTTTACATGGTTTGCAGTCACCCTGTTTTTCTTTAAACATTAAAAAGCTTACTAGCAATTGCACTGTCAAGTTTATGTAAGTTACTGTAGGAACAGCAAGACTATCCTTTAAATGTAGTTTACAGCTAAAAGATTCTTGTTGATTCTAATGTCTTCAAAACTTTATACGTAATGAAGACTTACTGGTCTTTAGGTGACTGGCTAAGATTTTACCCTCTTTTAGTGGATGGGTGTTAGATGTGCAATTCTCTATCTGTATATACAACTGTTAAAAGAGTAATGATTAATTGACTATGAATAATATCTAATTTCTGAGGTGATTTGCTTATGTAGTCCTTGACACTGCAACATCCACCTTTGGTAATACTAAGATTAATCAAAACTGAACTGTTCACTTATTTCAT